ACAATAAAAAATATATTATGTTGTACATACCTGGAAATGACGAAGACAGTATTTTAATTAACAACAAATTTATTAAGTCCAAAGTATCACATAAGAATGATACTTTGGCTCCAAAATTTCCTTATTTTAAAACTTGTCTTCGTTTCTGGTACAACATGATGATTGGTTCTTTCTGAACCTGGTTTGTGATGATTGGTCCAGAAATCAAGATTGTCACAAAGTTGAAGAGTGGGAGGTGCCATTTGAACTGAGAAATCTCTCAGCTTTGGTGTTTTTCTAGTAATTTCATGTTAATGCTAATCAGCTTATTAAAAGCCAACAAGTTAACACAATGACAAACATCCTTTACAGAACAAAAGGTGCTAATGGAAACCATTTGCCAAAAATAACAATTGCAAATGTTTAGAATTCTAAAGCTTATTCAAGGAAATTTATAATAAAATACAACCAAATAACAATTTTTGGAACAAAGTTCAAAATAGAAAAATAAAATTGAAATATTTGAAATCTATGTTTAAAGACAAAAATTTTGATATTAATTTTAACTATTTAAGTTAAAATTTAACAAAATGTATTTTTAGAACATTTACTTATTTACTTTATATGATTATTAATTATGATGTATTACATAATTTTATATAAGAAAAAAGGCACATCATAATACAGACAATATAATTAATAGATTTAAAAACTCAGTTTTACATTTAATAGAGGGGTAGACTCTGTGGCCAAGTGGTTTAGAACACTTAAACTTGGAATTGATCCTCAAGCATATCCCAAAAGGAGTATGTAATATAACATGTAGGAAATACAAATGAGCCGTGTCACGACAAAACCAACATAGTGCGTTTGAGACCAGCATGGATCCAGACCAGCCTGCGCATCAGCGCAGTCTGATCAGGATCCATGCTGTTCGCTATCAGTTTCTCTACTTGTAATAGAGTTGGTAAGCGAACAGCATGGATCCTGATCAGACTGCGCGGATGCGCAGCGCAGGCTAGTCTGGATCCATGCTGGTCACAAACACATTACGTTGGTTTTGTCATGAAGCGGCTCAAATGTATAATCTGATGAATGAATTAATTCTGAAAAAATGAGTTTAAGGTGACATGTTTTTTCTTTTCTGTAATCATTATTATATCCCTTTATGGAGCAACTGTTGATGACATGAATATTTGATGTGTATTGTATTTGTTTATTTAATTATTGGTCTAAATATTTGATTAGAAGTAATTTCTCTTCTAGATAAAGTCGTGCAATCTAAAATAGTACTAAATTTCAAAATATAATATTGCCATTCCAAATAAATCAAATTTCCTCCATAGTTTTATTTCATTAAAAGGCACATTATACCTCAGAATGAAATAAATTTTTCCTGTCTTAGAAAGCAATGACATGAGTTTTCTTTAGTTTATATAGCTTTTTTTGGAGGTAACTGCTCAAGGTAGTTCATTTGCCCCATATAACCATTCAAATGGCATGATTATTCATTTCAACTAGGTAGTTCCTCAAGGTAGTTAATTTCCCCCATATAACCATTCAAATGGCATGACACTTAAGGTAGTACCTCATAGAAGTTCATTTGCCCTGTATAACCATTGAAAGGGGCAATAAAATGTTGTCTTTTGTTTAGGCTCAGGTTTTCTGTATACATGTATGTGTTCTTTCATTAGATGCAGTCTTTGACACAGGTTTAACTGTAAAAAATACAAAAATGAATGTCAACATTTACCTTCGCCATTCTTGAGAAATAAAGGATAAATTCTAGATATAGGTTGGCAAAATAGTTATTTATGGTACATATTTATTGCCATAGCTTAATATTTTATAGCGTCACAAACAAAGACGTCATAAAATATTTCCTCTCCCACTGTAATAAAATTGTTACAATGTACATCATTTATAAATACCTTACTGGCGTAATGTTAAATACTTTTCAGGGTCTCAAATTAATCTAATGGACATTTTTCATATGATAAGTTAGAACGGTATTGAAATGTAAGAGGATATTTTTGCCCCGGTGGAGATATTTTAACATTATAGAAGTCGCTGTCATTACTGACAACTGAATTGCATTTCGCCTTTTATACCAGATTTTGAGTGGTATTTTATGAATGCCGATTATTGGTCCGTGGCCATGTATGTTTTGTACTGACACTGTATGGATGAGATTTCGTATTGCAACACACACTATGTTCAAGTTTGGTCGCATGTTCTTGCATTTTCGAGATTGATTATGGGATATGTTTCGTATAAAGTATTAAGACGGAGGTGTGGATTATTATAATGTCATCATTAAATAAAGATATACATTGAGTGTTTTATGCGGTATATTGAAAGGGGAATGAAAGAAAATGGATTTTAAATTTTTAAATACAAAGCTTTCTTTTAAATATGGATTAATCTGATTTTTCTCAAGTGCATTTTAAAATACCTTGTTTATAATTATTGGCATGTAGTTTTTTTTTATCCCGTAACCAATTTTGTATACTTCCTTTTTAAACCTTATTGATGTAAAGTTATGTTTTTAAGTGATCATTTTGTTAAGGAAGTTACTTAAATTTTTTATTCGAATAATTGTTATATCTATGATCCTGGCTAAAGTTTGTACCTTTGTACTATGTAATCAAATCATGACAGTATATTGACCATATGTCATATTATGTTACTATTTTTGTAAAGACTACTTGAAATTAAGTCGGTGCAGTTCCGTGACTGAAATTTATATCTGGATTTGTATTTCAGTCGCAACAAGATATTTATATATTCATCAATTTATGACTCATGCTGGGAATATTAACTTTTGTTATCTTAAAGATTAAAACATGGCGTCAGAGGTATTTCATTGTATCAATAAGAAAAACTACCATATTTGTAAACTTGACCCGGTGTGACCTAAACCGTATCATGATTTAACTGCAAACACTTTTGACATTCGATCATTGATAAACGCTTTGAAATAGGGTTTGATACTCAATGTGTGTTTTCTTTACAAGTTTTACAGTTAATTTTTAAAGCTAATTTCACCTACACATTTAGATTTTTTTAGCAGATTATGTTATTTATTGCACAAGAGGTATTGAACTTTAAGCTTGACTTGTACCAAAACTATGTACTTAACATTAAATCAGTATAAAATGCATGTAATTTATGTTTTCAGCTGTTAAAACCTTAAACATCAGAAAGAAGAAACAAGGGGAGGAGCTGAGATAGAGAAAGTGAAAGGATATTGGAAAACCATCAAAGAATTTTCTATCAATCAGAATTATTTTGAAGTGCAGGAAGAAGAATGGGACATTTTAATAGATTTTAGAATATGACTATGGTTATAACTTTTCAACTTGAGAACATATTTGAGGAAGAGCTAGAAAATTGATTTTTTTTCCTACAGCATTATATTAGGAAGTAAGAGACCAGACAAGTGCTTAATTTGCTGTATAACGAAAACACTTGGGCTTTAAACTGACTTCAAATTGGAAATAGTTTTCCTTGAGCAGTGTTTAAGTGGAAATATTGTTAATTAAGAGATCAAACAGAATCGAAAGCTTATGTTTTTAACTATCTAGTCACTATAGTTCTGTAGAATGGATGTTGTAAAGGTTATTTTTAATTTATAACAACTGATAACAATTCTTTGAACATTTTGTGTCAAAAGTGTAAATAGTGTTACTTGTGTGTGAAATAGCACTGAGAGTGTAACAGTACCAGTAAAGTGAATTAGAGGAGTGTTACATACTGGCAGTTGGACATAAACAGTGATAAAAAGGGGAAAAAAAATATTACGCTTCTTAAAAAGTGAACTTTAGGATTTTAATGTAGGTGTAATTTTAAAAAAATACAGTTAACTTTTTCGATGCATAAAGAAGTGTGAAATTAGTGTTACATGAATTAACTAAAGTTTAGTTGATATACAAGATGGGATATATACTGACATTTACCTCCATTTTTCTGAGCCTCGTCTGTCTCCTCAATGCTGATGGTAAGTTAATTCATATTAAACTCATTAATGAGCCGTGTCATGACAAAAGCAACATAGTGCGTTTGGACCATCATGGATCCAGTAGCCTGCATTGGCAGTCGATCAGGATCATGCGTCGTTCAGTTCTCGATTGTAATAAGTGTAGTCCAACTAATGTATCCGGCGATATTGTGTTCTGTCTGGCAACTATCGAGATTTGCCCAGAACGAATTCTAGATCAAGCTTGCAGTCAATATTGACATAGAGTTGGTAAGCCAACAGCATTGATCCTGATCAGACTGCGCAGATGCGCTGGCTGGTCTATATCCATGCTGGGCGCAAATGCATTACAATGGTTTTGTCGTGACGCGGCTCATTTAATTTCATTTTGTTATTAATATACAGCCTATCAATTAACAGATAAGATAAGTTTAATTTCAAGTCAGCAAGATTAAGAACAATACAGTGAGCTATTTAATATAACTTTAAAGGAGTTTTACATTTTTAAGCCTTTAATGACATACACAGCAGCCAGATGTTACATTCAATACTATGCTGATAGGTTATAAATGATATATGATATACCAGTATTATATGATGAAGTTAGAAGTTATTAGCAGACTTATCATTATTAAATATCTGTAGTCCAGGAACACTAAGCATTGTTCATGCCTTTTTGTATAATACTGATATATTCTTTACTAACCCTTAGTAACAAGAGACAAATGTGACAATATTTTAAAGTGACCTAGCTATGCCACTAGTATGTCAGTCTGCGCTTCTTTATAGGTTTGTCAGGGAGTCCACCGCCTATGGTTTATCCACTGATACTGTCTACGGTCAGAACTGATACACTGTAATAGATGTTATATTTAGATATATCAAATACAATTACTGGAAGTTTTTTGCACTTGAACTTCAAAGAGTTTAATATTAAGAATTTGATTTTCATAAATTTACTTAAGAGTATTTCGTGTATAAAATAAATTAAAGAAAAATGAGTAAACACTGCATGAGTAAACACTGAGTAAACACTGAGTAATTTTCCTGTGTTTACATGCTCAATTTGTTCATTCAAAACATTTTAACTCTCCTAAACATTTATAAATGTATAGGTAAAAGGTGTAATTTAATGCACAGTACATTTTGTCATGCATTTTCCACATATTTTGTACAAAGCAGACATAATTATTGTGGTAGATAAAATGGATGTGGTTACATTGTTAAATGTCTAAATGTCTCCATTATTCATTTTCTGTAGTAATAATGTTGCAGTCAAACATGATTATATGAGTTTATAAAAAAAATTATGTGATAAATTTGTAATTTTTTTCTTTGCAACCATGTGAAACCTTTCAAGGCTTTTTGTTCTGGTCTGTGGACCCATGTTTATTATTTTTCTGCCACTTCAATACCAGTGAATTTATCTAAATAATCTTTAAAACATGAAAATGCATCGCTGTCTTCGGTTATTTAAAAGTACAATTTTATCAAAAAGCCCACTCCCATTTAAAAAAAAACAAACATTACATTTTCATGTGCATTCAAATACGCAAACTAAACATGTTAACAGAAAATCAAACCAATTTCTTTGCAAATTTAAAAAAAAAAAGTGAAACAAAATATAATTCATATTTTTTAATTTTTCTGAATATTCACAAAAGGTAATACAAATTCTGAGTTATGATCAATAAAAGTGGAGTGGAGTTTTATTTTCTTTTATTGCTCAATAATATTTTTATTGAATGACAATATTTGACATTTTTATTTTATATACCAAAGTATTTATTATTCAAAATGTTCTGACATTGAGGAATACTCTAGAAATCAACAAATGTTGACTTTTACCTGCCTTGGTTACAATTTTTTTTACAGTTACAACTTTGTAAAGATAATAAATATATCAATATTATAAAATATTCACAAGGTTTGTTGACATGAAGCTATAACATTAAAAGTATGCTTGTACCTTAGGTGTGATGGGAAAAACCCACTTTTGTCAAGTTCTGAATGAAATCTATAACATAATTGTTTTTAATGAAATGTTGCAACTGTTGTGATATATCTACAACCTCTTTATATACACCATTCATGATTAAAAGTATGTAGAAATTTTAGCCCAAACAGGCTTGCACTGTAAAAAGTATCATACATATTTTGGTGGGCAGACTATCCTGTAATATATGCCAGAAATAAGTATACACTTTCGGGCTAAACCCAAAACAAACAAGTAACAGCGAAATGAAGAGGTTTCAGCTTATAAGCTAATCTTATTATATCTGCTGGAAACTGTGATCATGATTGATTTCTGTTTTGTTTTTCTTTGATAAATTATTTACTAGGAATTATACGATACTAAAATGCATATAAAAAGTGTTGGTATTTCCACTTTTACTCTTGGACTTGATTGCAGCTTAGCCATCTGGCCAAATTGACTCAACCAGTCAGCATTTTGAAACTGATTTCCCTTAACTTTACAATGGGAAATTCAAAATTGAAAGCACAGGGAAAGTCCATTTTACAGTTTAACAAGATTAAGGTTTAATTTGTTTGAGTGACAGGAGTCAGTATTTTGTCTGTAATTACCTGGTATAAGTTTACATGTTTTATTATGGGTTGTGCTTGTATTCTGTCACAGTTTGACAACACACACTGTTGTTATGTATCCAAATAAATGAGAAACTTTTTATACAGATCTTCTCACATTTCCTGACATTGCAAGATAAAATACAATACAAAGTCTGAAAAACATAACTTTCCTCAGTGTTGAAGATTTATATTTTTATCAAAGTTCATTTTGGTTGTCTTGGCTAATGATCATCCTATCAGAAGTATTTAACATATTCCATTGGCATTCTTTGGTGCCAATTTCACAAACACCAAGGCTGATTGTTTAATAGCTTATAAATTGAGTGATATAGAACATTTTACATTTGGAAAAAAAACAGTTTATATTGATCACAGTCATGTTTTAAAGGTCATAAATCTAACTCGCAAAATCATTTTTCAACTAGCATTTTGCGAGTTTGTGAGTGTTAAATTCAAGCCCTGCTCAGTTGATAATGGTATAGAATAATAATATCTGTCATATTTTGCGGTTCGGATCGGAATATCCGTCCCGAGGTGATCCGCCCATTGGGTGGTAACGAGGCTTGCCGAACCGCAAACATATGTCAGATATTTTTTCTTGCATATTCTACCATATTCCGTTATATTTTAAATTCTTTATCTTTATTTTCAATGAAAATTTATATCATTACAACCGTAACTACTTTCATTCAACAGCGTATGAATTACAAAATCATTCATAACGGTAAAATGACGTCATCTTTATCGTGCCATTGTACAGCACGCGACTCATCTGGAACCCCCCATGCCAGATGAAAATTTCCGGCATGGGTAAAACTAACGGAAACGCCAGTCTGATATGCAAGAATTAGGGGAGAATGAGGAGCATATAGATTTGCTATTGTCTGTACATTGAGCTGTCTCAGTCAGTGTAATGTGGGAGCATCATGTGTGGACACATTGGTGAACAAAATAATGTTTAAAATAAAACAAGACACCATGTAATATCATAATAACCATTTAAAATTTGGTACCTTTTTTCATTTTGACTTGACCTTTAGAGCATTACAATATTTCATAATTTATATTCTCTTAATTTTTTTTTGTAGAGTTCTTACGTAATATATGTAAAGCCAATTACATTTGAGAAAACAATTATGAAGAACCCTGAAAACTCCTAAATTATTAGCTATTTCTGAAAACCATTATACATTAAACTAAAACAGAGACAAAAAAAGACAAAATAAGTATAACAGAGCAGTATATTCTATATACTTACTTGTATTTTTAATTGTAACAAAATACCAAGCAAATAAATGTAATGTGTCATTAAAAGGTAATAGACTAGTGGTCATGTGGTTTATTTCTAATTGTTATTAATGAACTATTGTCATTATTATTACATTAAAAGTTTGTTAGTGCATCCTTAGTTTTATTTAGCTTTCAGAGATTATAATGTTACAATTCAGTTGTTCTACTTGTTGTAGAATTAACCAGGCCCGTCAGCAAATCCATATAGTCTGACCAGTGTGTGGCTCTAAGTAATAGAAAGTCTAAGCATCGACCCCGAATGTTTTGATTGTAAAATAAAATAAAATTACATTCATTTCATCACAATATGAAACCCCAGAAAATAGTAATGTACAAGCATCTGATTTCGACTTTTCTATCGTTATCCTTTTCCCCTTCATCACAATAAGTAAACACACAAAAAAATGAGCCAATCAATGAGCATCGCTTTATTTTGACAGTGAGTTGAGTGCGGGTAACAAATACATACTATTAAAACATGTATGGGCACTGTGCATGTATGGGTATACGATATAATTCTGACACATTTTCAACAAAAAGATCTCCAAACTATGATACAAGTTGTTGTTAAAAATCCTTAAAACTCTTAAATTAAGAACAATGGATAGTCTTTATATCAAAACAGGACAAAACACATTATATATAATTATGTGGTTAACATTAATATTGTCTTTATCTAATTATTTACAGTTCCACCGAGATATCCGTCTAAAGAGGAGCGTAAGGTAGCGTTTGCATGTCAGGATAGTTATATTACATTGAAATGCAAGGAACCTGGCACAAAAATTAGAATCCTCCTTGCAAATTATGGTCGCTTTAGTCTTGTTGTCTGCAATCAAGATGGCATCCATAAAGGTTGGAATGTGCAATGTAGCTCCAAAATTTCCATGGAAGTTGTCACTGAAAGGTAATATTTGATTACATGTATCTCCCCCTGACATTCTATTAATTATAACAGTTCTGTCACAGTAGGTCTTCACATCATCTTAAAATAGATTTACACTCTTGCTTGATTTGTAATTTAGTTATTTATTTAGTACCAAAACACATTATATAATAACAACGCTCATTTGCCATCTGTTACTTGTAACTTTTATAAATATATTATATGAAATTGATTTACCATATATTTCATTTTTTGAACATGTTTTGTTTCTGTTCACAGTGTCAGTGTATCATCACATTTGTGCTATAATTTTTGTGCAGAGAGTATAATCTTGCTATTCACATATAAACATGTTATTGCATTATTTCCTGCACATTTCTAGGTGTGATTACAAGCTGAGCTGCAATATTCGTGCTCACAATGAAATTTTTGGGGACCCATGTCCCTCTACTACTAAATATCTGATGGTACAATACTGGTGCCCACGGGGTAAGAGAAGTTGTCAAGGAAGCATGTCCCATGGCAACCAGCATGATGTCCCTAGTAACTACGTTTTGTTGCATCTTGCACAGTTGTTGTCCCTCAATGTTTTGACACCATATCAGTTTTCCATTTTACTCCCACAAATTTTTATTTTTATAGTGTACGCAACTTTTTTATCTAGATTTGTTTTGGTGAAAATATGGGTTATTTTTATAAACAATAAATACAACATAATATTTTGCTTTCTGTATTTATGATATTATTGACAGCTTAATGCACATTGAATTTTGTCTTTACTTTTTATTTGCCTATGTATTTCATAAAAAAAATCAATAGCACAAACTTAAGTCACATTTTAATGTTAGCTGCATTTTAAATATAAAGAAATGTCAACTTGAATATTTGTTCATGTCTGGATCAATGAGCACACTAATCCAGAATATAAATAAATAGGGAAATAAGATTATGTGAACTAGTCTGATGTTAACCAAGTGGGTTTTTAGCTCGACTTTTCTATGAAAAGGGGAGCTATCCTACTCGCCCCGGCGTCGGCGTTGGCGTCACACCTTGGTTAAGTTTTTCGTACCACCCCACTTTATTTCAGAAGTATTACAAGTATGGCTTTGAAACTTACCATACTTGTTCACCATCATAACCTCCATCTACAGACAAGAGTACATAACTCTGTCAAGGTTTTTGACAGAATTATGGCCCTTTTTTGACTTAGAAAGTGTATTGAGCTTGGTTAAGTTTTTTGTACCACTCACTTTATTTCAAAACCATTGGAGGTATTGCTTTGAAACTGACCATACTTGTTTACCATCACGACCTTCATCAACAGACAAGAGGACATAACTCTGTCAAGGTTTTGACAGAATTATGCCCCTTTTTTTGACTTAGAAAATACATTGAATATGGGTAAAATCCACTTATTGCCTTAACCCTTTGAGATATTGCTTTGAAACTTTTAATGCTATTTCACATCATTACCCCCATCTGTACGCAAGAGAAGGTAACTCTGTCAAGGATTTGTTTTAAAAATTAAGGGCCTTTTATCGACTTAGAATCTTGGTTAAGTTTTTAGTACCAGTCCACTTTTTGACTGAACTGTTTGAGATATTAATTTGAAAGTTGGAATACTTGTTTACAATCATGATTCCCAAACATGTCCAGGAGAAGGTAATTCTGTCAAAGATTTTATTTGAATTATGGCCCTTAACTGTCAATGTTTTGTATTATAGGCAAGCACTAAAAAACTTAAAAAATCTAAAAAAATTCATTCCTATCCACTTGTTCACTTTACCATAAATTATGTCATATAAACATTGCTGTAAGGGTATCACACAATTCAGTAAAATAATTCTTCACTAAATATCTTAATGCTCATGGCCATTGTTCACTTTAAAAATACAGAGATTCTTGTATTGCCTTTTACTGCAAAAACTTTTTTTATTGGCAAGCAATAAAAAAGTCGAGCGCGCTGTCTTACGGACAGCTCTTTTTTATATTGTAACAAAGGTACAACTTAATTAAAGGTATATTTTGTCTGAGGCACCTGCAACTATAAACTAATTAGTGTAATTAGAAACTGAACCTATTGTTAAGATTTATTTGTATTTCATTGCTCATAAAGCGTGCAACTGGCTTCAAATTTAAAAAAAAGTACAGATGATTTTCATCAGTTTATAATGAAATAAATGCGGTGTTGATTAACCTAGAAATATTGAAGAGAATGAAATTTAATTCTGTAATCTGTAACCAATCTTGTTTAATATAAGGTACAGCTTTTGGCATTGAAGGATAGGTTTTCGAGTTATAGTCAATGATATATGAAGCTCCAAACATGGAAAGTGAAAGTGAATAGTTAATTATATGAGATTAGAAATGATGAACATTTTGAAGCCATTGAAGACAATCAATAGGACATAGCCTTTGAAATAACCTCATAAATTACAACTCTTGACATATAATTACTAAAAAAAAATTAAGATAAGACTTAAAATCCAAAGGTTTTGGACTTTCTACTTTGTAATAAATATACAATGTATGTTATGAACTTTAAAATTCAAATGAAATGTCTATGGACCTATATGATTAAATTTTGTTTGTAATGTGGCTGGGCTTTCAAAGTTACATGCAAATTTAACAGCATATCAAAATCTTCAGTAGAACTGTCAGGAGAGGTCAACTAATTGCCATATGGCACTGAACATTACATTAACAGTAAAAATTCTTTCCAAGTTACGAAGCTTTTCTTTTACATGTGACAAATAATTAGCAGAATTATGATCACTTTAAGGATATTTTAAGGGCGCTGCCATAGTGACGGTATTAAATTGGTTCTCTTGTCTCATTCCAGGGGAAAGTGTCGGAGAGAAATTGAATTCAGTTTAATCTTAAGATTATTGGAATTAGAGGGGGCATTGTCTGGATTAATTAGAAATTCTTTGACAAAATTGGTCTTTGTGTCTGAACATTTTTGTAGCGTTCTGTGTTTGGTTGATTTAATGAAGCAGGAAGACAAAGGAATTACAGACCAGGGAGATTTTAGGGTTCAAACAAAAAATAATTGAAGTCTAAAATCTGTCTGTCATGATGTAATGTCTTCTGTCAATGGGTCGGATCACACAGCTTTGTTTTCCATCAACATTTTTTGTCTCCTCAATAATTGTGTGACTCAGCGAAAAATGTTATCTTAATTCATTTCCAATTAATTTTTTTTTTTATTTTGCAAGGTTTGCTTAAAATACAAAATGTCTACAATTTTGTATTCTAAAGGTTGAATTTGTCATCATTTTAAATGCAGTCAGCACTTCAAATTTCCAGTAAACAATAAGGTTCATAAATTGTTGTGGTCACCACAATAAGTAGGAATTTTTCAATTTTCCTATTGTTTATGTTTGGATTTTGTTTCATATTATTCATAAATTATCACAATTCTATGATAAATTTACAATTCAGGGATGGACAATGTTAAAATGATGATCTATTTATTGTCCTCTTATTTTTATTGAATGATATGCTTTATATTTGAATTTATTTCTTTTTATTTTCAAACTTTTCATTTATATTTTTTATTAATTTCTGTTGAATTGTATCATCTCAGAGACTTCCAATATAAAAATGCTTTAAAACAAAAAACACACACGAAAAACTAATAAAATAGTTTCATGCTCAGATATTATTTTCTTTGTATTTGAAATGAGTCAATGTATATACTTATGAGTTTTTAAGAAAAGACTGATCATAATACAATTAAGAGAGTAATGTACACTGAAGGATCTTATCGAGCTGGCGTGTGTTAACGTCGATTGTTGTACGTTGAAACATTGTTGAAGCCGGATTCTACTAGAAATAATGCATAAAGGGGCATTTGTTAAGTCTTCTTCTATCCATTAAGCTAGATAGGCAATTATGACCATAACAAAGTTTTTGTGCACAAAATAGAATTATAATTGTTAGTTTATACAAAAGTACTTTAGTTTGATTGTGTTAGAATCCATAAACTTCTTTAAACACTCTCGATTCAATTTCCAGCCAACCAGTACTAAGCAATTAATGTTAAGTTTCTTGCTGAAGGAAACAACAGCTTGCCCCTGACAGAGTTTGAACCCATGCAGTCAGCAATCCTTAGATTTCTAGTCTGACTCATTAACCACTCAGCCATTCTGCAAAACAATTATCATTGTTGTTAACATAAAACATTTGGACTATGTAAAGTATTCAAAAAAAAATAAACAATTAACAATCTAGTGATGGCACCTTTAAATATTATAATGGTGGGTTAAAGGTAAAACATCCTTTACAAGGTAATTTTTGTACCATTTTACGTCATTTAGGGCACAAAAAAAAATGTTTCGATAAGAATGTGTGACTGTTTTTTATATTCACATCATGATCAAATGTAAAAATGTGGTAAACAAGATTAATGAATCATAACTGTTGCTCTAAATTTTAAGTTTCGTAGGTGTATGTTTGTTTTATAAGTTAATATTTTAAATAGTTTACTTTTATAAAAACACATACATTTTTATTTGATATTCTGGATTGTTTAATGTTTAAATAAGAAAATACAGAAATTGTCTTTTTATATACATATATGTACTTTGATGAATACTGTATTATACTTCAAAATTGACTATTTTATAACAGCATAAAAATATAAAAATTTAATCTAGAAAAAAGGGAAGATCCTGCAAGAGGAATGATAACAAGAGTAAAAAGGTGAAAAATGCAGACTGTTTGAATGTGTTCAAGAGATATGTAATTATAACTCTCACGACCCGTAGCACCAGCTTAAGACCAAAAAAGGGTTAGAATCAATGATAGCAAAAAATACCAGAATATTAAATCACTTAGATGAAGTATCAGTGTCACATTATGACGGTTAAAACAGCTATCAAGATTAGTGCTGTTGTGAATCTAGAAATCTGGAAAATGAGAGATCCCTCAAAAGGTGAAAATTGCAGACTCTGTTTGACTGAGTCTGTTCATGAGAGATATAAATGAAAAGTGTATGCCCATAAGGTTATTTCAGTAAGCATTTTAAACTTTGAGTACTATCAGTGACAGTTATGGAATCAGTATAATTCCATGCCAGCAGACTCTCAGCCCCCCAGCTATACTATACTTTTGGCTACTCAATAAAATACATCATCTTAATAGATAATATTGGACCATCCCAAATTAAAAACAGGAAAAGTTTGTGTTATATAATTAGTAAGCTTGTTTTGTGGCAGAAAGAGTTAATTAATTTCCTGCTATTGAAGTTATATGGCACCAAGATAACCACATTGTTTGATCATTCGCCAGCCACTAATCTGGTACTGTTTAACCCACCCTAAAATACCATTTTTTGCACTTCTTTGCCATCTTTTTTTTTATAAAATGCAAATAAACCAGGTAAACTTTTAATGTTGTCTGAAATTTCACTGGTATTGATTTTTTCCTTGTGTATTGAATCACATTTAGTTTAATGATGTATTTTATTTTACTTCTGCTCCAACAAAACTGAAATATCAAAATATTTAGACAGATATTATTGATGCAACATGCATTGAATAAATTATGGACTAAATAACTGTTGGGGAAATGTTTAAAGTTTATCATTCTAATAAATTTTCACATGTTTTAAGTTAATTCTTTCAGGAAGAATATTTCATCTAAATTTCAACCAAAACATTCTTGTTGATTGAGTTTTTACTTGGCTAAAGCCATTAAACATAACCATTTATGAACTTATCTGGGATATATTTCAACTATAAGCTATATAATGAATCTGCAAATCAATGAATTGTAAACATTAACTTTGAGAAATATGGTCCAACTTCTTATTAAGTCAAACTTCATGGAGACTTTGATGTTACTGGTATGCTGTATCTGAAATATTAATTCAGCTTCCTTTGATATAACTTTACAGCTGTACACACAGTATATCAATTTGTGCCTGCATAAGGCATGTTGTAAATAATTTATTAGACAGACAAAAATGGTCGCCCATCTAGATTTTTACCTAGATATCATAACTGCTGGTGGTAACGATATACAAAACACAAGTTGTATATTAAAATTAGTGAATTTAAACTGAAATGAACTGGTGTTGAAGTCTGTATAAAACATTGGATATACAATGCTTCATTATATAATATCAATAGATATTTGTAAAGCTATCATCATGATTATCATAATTGTTTATTTAATTATTTAAAAGCATTATTATAGATTTTACCAATTTGCATCATCAACAACAAATGTTTAATTATCCCTGTAATTATAGAGATCATCAACATGATAATTATGATTATTGGATTAGTCATCGTCATCATTGTTAGAAACATGATATTATAATTAATATTTATTGTCAAACATTACTAATATTATCACCCTCATGATTTAAATGATTGATTTCATCATCATCAACATTATCATTGATAATTATCATTATCATCATTTTTAGTATCATTAGCAGCATCATCATTATTAACATTATTGATATCATACCTAAAAGATGCCATAATCATCAACAATAGCATTATTGATATCATGGTAAACATTTATGTCATATTCATCAACAACAACAACAACAGTATTGATATCGTTTTCACCATTATTGATATCATGGTAAACATTTATGTCATATTCATCATCAACAACAACAACAACAACAGTATTGATATTGTTATCAACATTATTAATATCATGGTAAACATTTATATCATATACATCAACTACATTATTTATATCATCATCAACATTATTGATATTATTTATATCATAATCATCATCAACAGCATTATTTTCAGCATTATTTATATCATCATCAACATTTAAACCCTCCCCTATATAAAAGTTATTATCATCATCATCATCATCAAAATTGCTTTTATCATTATCGATATTTTCACCCAAATAACAGTATTGTTGTCAATATTATTATCAGCATCATTGTACCTAACATTTATTATCCAGTATGTTAACTTTTATTATCATTTTCATATAGAATGTTGTTTTTGTTATATTTTATTAAGTGATTTAATGATTGCTGTGTGACTAATTTTTGTAGTGTCATGCATGTTTTAGGTGTTTGTTGTTTTAAAGTTTGTTAGAAATTTTGCCATAATATACTGTATTTGAAATGCTACAAAATTCTCTACATTGTGGGTCATCTTTTTTCCCCTATTTTTGATTGGACTTAAAATGAATATTCTGATTACTATAAAAAAATGGACTATTTTTTTAGATATATAAAACAAAATGTAATATTTTTCTTACAAGATTAGACATATGTAGAAGTGTATCTATATGTGACATTTTTGCATATATACAGACATACCAGCTGTGACAATGTTGATTTTCTGAGAATAGAATTTTCATTGACATATTCTAAAATCCGTTACCACGGTAATAATATCAATGTACATAATGTAGAGAGATTTTTTAGCTACAGTCAAACTTGTCTATAAAGACAAATCATTAGAAATGGATGAAATGATCTCTTTAAACCAGACAATAATGAATTGTCTATGCAACCAGTATAGAGCCAGATCAGGGTGCATCCTGGCTATACTGACCACTGATTTGTCGGTTTACAATGTCAAAACAGGACTTGTCCATTATAAAAAAGAAAAGCAGGGTAAGGATTAAGCAGGTCATTTTGAAATAGGATTGGTCTAAAGCCCATCTCACACAGGACACACGGCTTACACGGTTGGCCACCCGTGTAAACCGTACATACAACCGAACTAACCGTAGCGTTATCCGAGTTACACTCGGGCCATTCGAGTGTATCCGTGTAAGCCGTGTATGATTTTTAAAACTTTTAAAAAACTGGTACGGATGCCATGTCCGTGTATGACCGTATAAGCGACCGTACAAGACCGTAAGAGACCGTGTGAGACCGTATCAGACCGTATATACAGCCGTATGTGAAGTTCACTCCACGAGTGAGCCCAACCGTATCAAGGTCGTGTATAAATCGTATGGAATCGTTCGAGACCGTCCCCAAGTCCTACATCCAACACCCGATTAACACCCGAATGTCACAAGATCACGGTACGATTCAAACGAGTGCACACACGGTTTTATACGATCGCCATACGACCAATACGGTTCATATACGAAACATACATGGCCGACACGGTAAAGTACGGGTATACAGGGTCTCACATGGCCTCGTACGGTCTAACACAGCCTCTACGTCAGCAAGAACTGTACAAAAAACACAACTACCTGCTGCCACCCTACCAAGAGTGCTTGCTGCATCACACTAGAATGTATCCAAAGAAGAAGTTTTGGACGCATAGAAGGAATACAAGAAGAGCCATCCAGGCCCACCGACCACTCCAACTTATTGACCCTGATAAGCTAGAGGACCAACCGGTAATAACCGTGTCTCCCAGGGATTCAGACTACAATGCCAGCTCAGTGGACCCTCCAGCAACCGCTACACAACAGAAAAAAAGACACATTCATTTTACATTGCTTCACTTTTTATTCATTTATTGATGTTAATATTAGTTATAAAGATTGTTGACAGGTTATATGGCCTTATATAAACGGCTGTTTGTAAATATAACCCGAGCCGCTAGGCGAGGGTTATATTGCAAACAGCCGTTTATATAAGGCCATATAACCTGTCAACAATCTTTATAACGAATTTATAATACAGCAAGCATCATTTTTAGAGGAATAAAGCGAGATTTCTTTATAAATCGACAGCAGCCGTGTATATAAAAATATATAAACGTCACGATTATCCAATGAAAAGCGACGTTACAAACGTGCAGTATTATAATGATCTATATATAAGTGTTCTTCGTTGAAATTTCGAAAATTCATGAAGCCAAGTCATCAAAATGGGTTAATTTATATCAAAACATACACAAATGTGTGATATTTCGAGACTTACTCGAACAAAAGTCGGCGGGACCCTATGTAAATCCTGTGAAAGTCGAGTAAATTGAGTAAAAGTCGTGTTTAATCGTACCAGACCGTACTAGACCGTACTTGGAACCGTACAACAGTCGTACGTATTCGTATGCAAATCGTGTTCAAACCTTGCTTGACCGAATATATCCGTGCTCAGTTTGTACATACTCATGCTATATTCGAGTCTAATTCGTGCCAACTAAACCACAAGCACGGTTGGAGCTCAAAACTCGTACCAGTCAACCCGTGTATAACCGAGTATACCGTATGGGAATCGTGTGTCCAACCGTGTTTTGTGTGAGACGGGCTTAATTGAGCCATAATAGACTTACTCCGGAATTAAGAATTTGTTAGTTTTTTCCAGCTAATCAGAAGGTTCAAACAATCTTACAGTTACAGCTTTGAAAATAAACGCAACGGGTTGGCTAATCTCTTGTGACCGGTAGTGCACCATGAAGCTTAAAACTGTAAACGTTTGTTTGTGCGGGAAAAACTCACTTTTGCTGAGTTCCGGATAACGTATTATAGCCCTTAGTTAATTAGCCTAGAGTGTTACATGGTGCTGATCCAGGGGTGGTTGTTAAGTACAAGTTTGACTGTATAACCTTTATTTATTACCCAGATTTTGAATGAAGCATGCAAACCCTTGTTATGTTATTTTTGTATGTTACCCTGCAGATGTGATAACAGAACAAAGTGTACTTTCCAAGCCAGTAACAAACTCTTCGGAGACCCGTGTAATGATACCAAAAAGTACATTGAGGTTCGATATTTCTGTGAAAGAGGTAATTACCAGCATGTTGATACTGCTATTTCTCATTTTACTTTTAGAATATTCAAATTTAAGAACACGTAGTTTTTTATTTTGTGTTGTTTTTTTTCCTCTCACAAATCTTATGTACATTCATTTACTTAATAGTATTTTAAAACAATGATTTATTTTATGATGAGATATTTCACGTATGGAAACATTTTATGTTGAGATATTACCCAAAATTATAATAGTACTGCATACTTTGAAAAATTTGACATTAATTGCCAACAAACAACCTCTTTTTATAACCCATACAGCAGTTGTCTATTATAATAAGCAAACTTGGTAGCTTATTTAATTTCCTCCCGTATTTAAGTGTTTTTTGTAATGTGTAAATCTGTTTATTGAATGGAAGAGCACCTGGATACAGACTAGAGAGATAGTAGGTGTTTTGTTGCTGTTGTAATTTACTGCAGATGAATAAACAAATGCATGTCAATCACAGATTGATTTATTCCCTCATTATACCAGCTTCAATACAGTCTAAAGTGTTATATTTGCCCATTTATTAAATTTCATTGTAGGTTATTTCACTATAATTATAGCATGTGGGTTTTGTTGGGTTTTATTTTTACTTTATTTGTGAGTATAATTTTGCATCTGTCAGTGTCATAAGATATTTTCTGAAGTTTAAATTTAAGAAAACCTGTGCAAATATGAAATTTTAACCTACCCGAATGTAGTTATATCTCTCCCAATTTATCTATGGTTAAGATATGGATAAGATACTATATAAGCTGTAAGACATTTAAATAAAATATCATAATTTTCCTTGAAAACAGATTTTAAGACTGTCGCAATGCATTGCATTTACAAGAAAGAAAAATTATTTAAAACAAGTTATGGAAGTTTCTGTTTTTTCCAGCCAATGAAATCACAGAGGAAACAGAACCACCGTATACCATTGTTAATCCAACAACGTTTGAAGCTACAACCACCATATATCCTGAAGTTACAACACTAGAACATAAGAAACATGTCACTGAAGCTCCACAGTCGTGGAAGAACGTGAAACACTGCCCGGAGGAGGAGTTACATGGTTTGTTTTGGGAGAAGACTTTAGCAGGGAAAATGTCGATCACTGACTGTCCTGTAGATATGTTAGGTAAATATCAATTAACTTAATTTATATGACACAATAAATTAACTTTTTAAGTAACTAAATTTAAATAAAGTGTAAGGACTGGTCAAAGTGATATTTTTTGCATATAAAAAAGGTACATAAAAGCATAATTTTAAGCACTGTCTCAATTTACAAAACTGTTAAATATCACATTTTAGTGAAGTTTTATCAAGCATGTTACTAGAAGGGAATGGGTTGAAACTCCACATACATTAGAGCATAGTAGGAAGACACTGTCCCAGGCCCATAACTCTAACATAGATTCTTACAGAATTATGGTCATTTTTAAACTTAGAAAATTTTACATTATCCAGGCTCCTGTTTAACTATCAAACACTGAAAATAATCAAGAACACTGTGCTTCTGACAGCTCTTGTTTAATATTTTTTAAACTTTTAAGCAGTAAGCGTCCTGAGAGGTATATTTTGCAATGTCAGTGTTTTATATAAATGTAAATTTCTTTGATTTCATGATAAATCTTTGAATAAGTTTTGAAAATAATTCACATTTTCCAAATTTTAATGTAATGTTGCCCATATCTGATATATACCTGTGATGACAGATTGTTTCATCATATTTATGCCCCCGCCATGTAATGGCCGGGGCATATAGTGTTACCCTGTTCCGTCATTCCGTCCTTCCGTCCTTCCGTCATTCTGTCATTCCGTCATCATCAGTTTCCGTTCATTATCTTAAGAACGGTTGCACACATTCAACTCAAATTTGACATATGAATATGTCATGACAAAATACAGGTCAAGTTCGAATTTGGTCATGGTTCGATGATTTTTGACAGAGTTATGCCCCTTTTACTTTGAAAATAATATGAAATTTCGGTTTCCGTTCATTATCTCCCCAACGGTACAACACATTCAACTCAAACTTGACATATGGATATGCAGTGACAAAATACAGGTCAAGTTCGAATTTGGTCATGGTTCGATGATTTTTGGCAGAGTTATGCCCCTTTTACTTTGAAAATAATATGAAATTTTCAGTTTCCGTTCATTATCTCCCCAACGGTACAACACATTCAACTCAAACTTGACATATGGGTATGTCATTAAAAAATACAGGCCAAGTTCGAATTTGGTCATGGTTCGATGATTTTTGGCAGAGTTATGCCCCTTTTACTTTGAAAATAATGTGAATTTTCAGTTTCCGTTCATTATCTCCCCAACGGTACAACACATTCAATTCAAACTTGACATATGAATATGTCATGACAAAATACAGGTCAAGTTCGAATTTGGTCATGGTTCGATGATTTTTGGCAGAGTTATGCCCCTTTTACTTTGAAAATAATGTGAAATTTTCAGTTTCCGTTCATTATCTCCCCAACGGTACAACACATTCAACTCAAACTTGACATATGGATGCGTCAAAAGAATGCGCAGGTCCATGTTCAAATTTGGTCATGGTTCAATGATTTTTGGCAGAGTTATGCCCCTTTCACTTTGAAAGTAATATGAACTCAGGGCTCACGCTGTCGGTCGCCATAGTCGCCATTTGCGATTATTTTATAAGATTGGCGATTATTTTTGCATTTTGGCTACAAAATCTGGCGATTATTTTTTACTTCCAACAGTGTTTATATAAGGTGTAAAAATCGATAATGAATGCAGTAGTCCCAATTAACACCAGCGGGGTGCATTTAATCGAGTGTCAACTTTTTACCGGTCACGTGCTGCTAACTATATTGCCCGAGGTGATAAAATACATGCGAGATGTATAATTGTATAAGTACTTCAAAGATATTGTCCAGCATTTATAATAGCCATCAAATATCCGTCAATTAGCCACAAAAATCGTTTTAAAATTGATAAACTGTATATTGACTTACCCAAAATTTACCGTGAATTCCAGTAATTGCAAATTTTGATTTTTTTTAAGCTACTTGACTAAATCGCCAGTGGAAAACAATGGTAAAATATTTAAAAAGTATTAAATTCCAAACAACTATTTGCACAACAACCAAAATTGTGAATATTTCTCAAGAAAACAGGAAAAATCCGATTGTCACATATTTTCGCGACACCGATAATTTTGATAATTTTTTAAAGGTGAATTAAGCTATGTTCTGTTTAAAAATCTTTACTACTATGGCAGAAAATTTGTATTACATTGGTGATGATGATATTTTTCAGTAAATTATTCAGAAAAAAGGCTGCATTCTGTGAATGAGTTTGCAAACTTGTGTTATTTCCATAGGCTAATATATATATGACCTAGATCTACTCCAGTTCTGTGTGAAATTGACAGTGGTTATAGCTGACAAAATTTGATTAGAACAAACAAAAAAAGTTGTCTGATAACAGCATTATGTAAAGTTATAATGAATCTTTAATATTATTGTTATACAGTAATTATACTAATTATAACGTTTTTATTCTGTTCTATAATAACAATTAAAGTTGTGGTTCTATTTAAAAAAAGGTAGTTATCAATATACACAAATGTATCAGTTTATTTGAGAATCCTTATAAAACTGAAAGATATAAATGTAATGTTTATTTAATCAACTGCTTATGTCAACTTGTTAATCGCTAATTTGTGAATAGTCCGCTGAACTTTTGGCTATTATTTTTTTAAGTTAAAATTATTGGCTATTATTTTATTTGAGCCAGTGTGAGCCCTGGAACTTTTCAGTTTCCGTTTATTATCTCCCCAACAGTACAACACATTCAACTCAAATTTGACATATGGATATGTTTTTGGAATGCCCAGGCCAAGTTGGAATTTGGTCATGGTTCAATGATTTTTGGCAGAGTTATGCCCCTTTCACTTTGAAAATAATATGAAATTTACAGTTTCTGTTCATTATCTACCCAACAGTGTTACATATTCAACATTAATTTGACATATGGATATGTCAAAGGAATGGGCAGGTCAAGTTGAAATTTGGTCATGGTTTGATGATTTTTTTTTGCAGAGTTATGTCCCTTTCACTTTGAAAATAATATAGATACATCTTAGGAATAAGCAGTTTAAGTATGAATTTGGTTGTGGTTTAATGATTTTAGACAAACTTATCTTTCCTGAATGTTGGAAAAATTTTGTACTTTCAGTTTCAGCACTCATACTTTTAGCCATTATTTTGGCTACAAATATGAAATATGTTATTTTTAAAAGGTTAAGACTGAATAATTTCAGTGTCTTGAACATTGTATGAAAATGGTTTGTGTTAACATTTTAAAGTTTTAAGGGCTTTGAACTTAAAATGAAAAAAAAAATTAATGCACCATCTGAAATTTTGGCTGCATGCGGGGGCATCCGTGGCATGATGACACATTTCTAGTTTATGTTAATGCAAACTGTTATACTATAAAAATTCTTCACATTTTTAGCTCGACTATTCGAAGAATATGAGAGCTATTGTAGTCGCCCCGGCGTCCGCGTCTGCGTTGGTTAAAGTTTTTTGTAAATTCAAATATCTCAATTATTGCTTGAGATATTCAATTGAAACTTACAATACTTATTTATAGTAACAATGTACATCAGATTGACAAGTTGGATAACTCTGCCTACAATATTTACAGAATTATGCCCCTTTTTAACTTAGAAATTTTGGTTAAAGTTTTTTGTAAATTCAAATATCTCAATTATTGCTTGAGATATTCAATTGAAACTTACAATACTTATTTATAGTAACAATGTACATCAGACTGACAAGTTGGATAACTCTGCCTACAATATTTACAGAATTATGCCCCTTTTTAACTTAGAAATTTTGGTTAAAGTTTTTTGTAAATTCAAATATCTCAATTATTGCTTGAGATATTCAATTGAAACTTACAATACTTATTTATAGTAACAATGTACATCAGATTGACAAGTTGGATAACTCTGCCTACAATATTTACAGAATTATGCCCCTTTTTAACTTAGAAATTTTGGTTAAAGTTTTTTGTAAATTCAAATATCTCAGTTATTGCTGAAACTTACAATACTTATTTATAGTAACAATGTACATCAGATTGACAAGTAGGATAACTCTGCCTATAATATTTGCCTATAATATTTACAGAATTATGCCCTTTTATAACTTAGATATTTTGGTTAAAGTTTTTTTGTAGAGTCGAATATCTCAATTATTGCTTGAGATATTCAATTGAAATTTACAATACTTTTTTACAATACTTTTTTATAGTAACAATGTACATCAGTTTGCAAAATTGCATAACTCTGCCTGCAATATTTGCAGAATTATTTGCCCCTTTGAAACTTAGAAATTTTATTCAAAGGTTAAAGGTCTTCAAAGATATTTACTTAAAACTTAACACATGTACTTAGGGTCATAATTGGAGAGTCATAATTGTATGTCACTGACCAAGTTCCATAACTCTACTCACATTTAGGCTTATTCATCTCCCCTTTTCTACTTAGTCTCTTGGTTAATGTTTACATGCAAGTTTTACATATCTCAATAACTATTAAAGATATTTATTTAAAACTTCACATATGCATTTAGAATCATAATTGTAGGTCACTGACCAAGATCCATAATTCTATCTTGCATTTAGGCTGATTTTTCTCCCCTTTTTCAACTTAGAAATTCATGGTAAAGTTTTTTCATGGTAAAGTTTTGCTTGTAAGCTGTTATCTCCATAACTACTGAAGAGTTTGTGCCTTTTTTGGGACATTTTTATGCATTCATAATAATAAAGCAGTGGTTTACTTGATAAAACATCTTAATAACAAGCCTTTGTACCTTTTCGGTCAATTTTATGTATTCATAGGTAACTAGCATTATTATACTCAATAAAACACCCTTGTGACAACTTTTTGAATAGTCGAGCCAATACTGTCCTCCCACAGTTCTTGTTTTAACTAAACTTGCCAGAATTTAAAATGTAATTTAATAACTTTATAATGACATATTAAAATTGATTGGGGTTTTACTATGATACAATAAATCACAGTGGCACACTAGCAGTATATGTGCAAAGCCTGTGATTATTTTACGTAACATATTTTTTTATAAACTGATAAGATTTTTGCATATTATGTGATAATTTATTGTGATTAATGTACATTGTATAAGTTGAAATGTAGTAACTTAAATTTAAAATGTTTAATTCTATTCTACTTTATTTAAAATAGCAGGAAAGTTTGTACCTCTCAGCAGCTCATTATATAGGGGTTTCAAATGAAATCTTCCAGTGGTGTTCTCTATCAACTTTTAACCTTATAAATTTCTTAAATAGTCTTGCCCAGTTTCCATTTTTGGGATCATCTATTATCAGTTTTGGTGATATCAAGATGAAATTAAAGTTAGTCAGCCTACAGTGTAGGGCCTGGTCAAATTGTATGGCTGTGCCTGCTGGCCAAAAGGGTACCCTTAATTACAGAGTCATGACCTTTGATTGTCTCAAAATTGTGTCAGTCATTGATACAGCAGTATTTCCTTCATTATTTAATGAAAATCTGTATATAGTTCTGTTTTTCAAAACATAAATTTATCTTATATTATCAGGTGAAGCACGAAGACAGTGTGGTAGGAATGGCAAGTGGGACAGGTATCCCGACCTAACAGACTGTGTCTCTGTATGGATGGAGGAACTTCAAACCATGGTAATTATAATTTAAAATTTATAACCAGTCATATGGAGGTCTGTCTCCAGTATAAATTTAGGTCAGTTCGTACACAAGTGTTGTCCGATTCAGGTTTCATATTCTCAACTGCAGGATTGGCAATGGACAGTGGGGCAATTTCACCACAGGAATCTAGTGGTGGTTATTGGGTTGAAATTCACTGACTAAATAAATGCATCTGTATATTTGTCTACTTTGTCTTGACTGTATCAGTAATTGTTATTACAACCCATTCTCAAGTGTGCCTGTATGACCATGTTAATTTCTTGCATTTTTTGTGGGTTGTTTAAAGGCAGCATGAAATTTAATTTCATCTGACTATCTGGCTATACTTGTGTAAAGGAACATTAAGCCCTACTTTTGTGTTATTTCAGACATGATTAGAAGCATGTCATAACATTGTCTTAAGTTTTGTTAAATCATGTTGATTGTGATGGAAGTTTTAAATAAATCTGTTGTATGAATTTTAATGATATTTTGGTAAACCTTTTCTTCAACTTTCATAAGATGCAGTAAGGAAAATAATGTTGAGTAATTATGCATTCAGAGAGGGGCCTTTTCAATTTGAGTGCAGTTAAAAGATTTATGGCTAAAAAAATAAAGCACACCTGGATTGAATCTTAAACAGTGTTATATTAATGTTCATTTTAGATTTTGTATAATGCCTTCAGAAACTTTATGAGATAGATTGCAAATTTATGCAGGACAAAAATCAAAATTGGAAAATTTTCAACAATGTGTATTTTTTTGTTTTTTTGTTTGGCAGATTGATTTTGAAGTGTCTGCAGAGTTGACAATATCTAAATTAAACAGTAAGATGAAGGGGAAAGTTCTTGGTGCTGGAGATCTAAAACAAGCTTCCATCAATGTCCTACCTCGTCTTGTTACTAAAATGAAGAAAGAGATGACCAGGGATATGCCAAAACAAGTGAAGAAAGAGAAAGTACAGAGCTTTACAAAGGTAAGTTCGTGGAAAAGGTGTATCAATGATGTGTAACTGTTGGGCTGCCTTCCATAAAATATTATAGTAAATTTAACTTAAAACAATGGTGAAAATGTACCAATGATTGGTATGCCTAAAAATTAAATTGAGAAATTGCTAGTATTTGAATTTGATAAGCCTGGTCAAGGTAAAAGGTGATGGCTTTTCTTTTTTCAAAAGGACTTCAGATAGTTTTAAGTCCATTTCAGTAAAATTTAAAAAATAAAGAGATGGTAATTATATAAGTAAATCTGACTGTCTCACATAAATTGTACACCTGCGTTTATGTTACATTGTATATGATTAATTGGGCAATAAATAATGAATGTTGATGATATATTGTACAGGAGATGGTTAAATCTGGTAGTGGTTTGTTAAATGCTACACAGCAGCAGTCATGGAGGGGCCTCCGACAAGAGGAGCGCAAGAAGGCTGCAACATCCCTGATTGTTTCCCTTGAACAGATGGCGCTAGAAGTCGCATCAACAATAGATAAACATGAAACTGTTGCATCGGCTGAACAGAATATTGGTATTGTAAAATTAATTATTTCCACTAAAATAGAATCTACTGACATAAATTATGGTTTGTTATTTCAAACTGTTTACATAATTGTTCTTGTGTTGCAGAAATTCTGCTAGCTTATTGAACACCCAGTTGTCTCTCTACTGTCCCTGAAATAATGCATTGAGGTATTTCAGTGGGCATCCAACTGTAAGTAAGATAGAAAGTTGCCATTTGACTTTAAATCCTATTGATTTTACTATAGAAAAGCAAAAAATAGTTATAAATAATAGTTATACAACCACTTAGCTGATGATATTGAGTAATAAAAAGCAAAAACAAACATAATGATATTAGTATGTTAATAACAACACAGTAGAAGTAAACAGGGGAAAAACATCAAAAGACAAGATGTATAAACTTGTGAATGTTGTTGTTATGATCATTTATTTACAATATTTTATTTCTAAGTAACACATTTACTGTCATATTTCCTTTTGATGTCTAATTGTGTTCTGATGAAATGCTTGAGGATGGTATTTAAGAATGAGGCTAATTCATAGAATAATTGACCTAAGAGTAAACAATAAAGAGCTTTTAATTACTACTAGATGATGAAAAAAATGGCCGGTATGTCATTTTAACGTGAGGCGTTTATGAATACTTAACATTGTTAATAGGTAAAAAAACTTTAATAATGTTGATAAATAGTTATGAAATTTTCATATATGCTTCTTCTTTCAGCATTATTCTATTAAAACAAACATTAATTCCTCCATGCTGATTAAAACCACATAATGTAGCATTTAAATGCTTATTAAATTCTTCCAGTCATAAAATTTTAAGTTAAGATTCATTTAATGATTGCCTCATTTCAACTTTTTGTTTTCACCAGTAATGGAAGTAAGTGTGATGAAGATGTCGAGAACACAACATGATCTAAAATTACCCATCAATCAGTATACACAGGGGCCAACAGATGGTTTCCATGACTTCACTCTGCCACTTGATGCTGTTTCAGGGCTAAAATCTACAGGTAAATTTGCCAGAATCTTCACAATTTACCAAAATGCTGTCTATGTACCAAAATCATCACTGTTTCTTCCCAAGTATAACATGTTTACAAAATTCCAGAGAATGACGTAATATGAATGATAATGGGGGAGGAGTTTTTTCCTTGAATAGTTCCCATAATACACTTTATCTTCGTTAATGAATGGAATATACTGGCTGCAAGTGCCAGGAGTTGAGTACATAATAGCTTTACAAAATACCAGTGTAAAGTGGTTAATGATCCCATTTAGTTTTATACTTCTTTTATGTAAAGAGTTGTACTGTTATACATTAAACCATTTCCAAACCATGATACCCTTAGAATATTGTAAACAAAATATTATTTACTGAATGCATTCCTTTAACAGTTATAAAAGTGTTTATCTAGCCAAGCATTTTACACCTTTACATCTACATGTATTTGTACCACTTTATCTTATTTCTTTATCTTCTATTCACAGATGATGTAACAGTGACTTATTTATTCTACAATAACCTGGAAGAACTGATGAACCCATCTACTGACCAGCCAGAAGAGCAAACCCAAAACTCTGTGATCAACTCCAACATAATTGCTGCATCAGTTATGAAGCATACACCTGATGTTGTCCAACCTCATTCTAAAACACAATTGAAAAGACCTATGACCTTTAAACTTTCTCATAAACATGTAAGTTCTGTCACTAACAGTTTTTGTTTGTTTTTTGTTGTTGTTTTTGAAAACTTTGTTTTCCTGTCAAATTTAAAAAAAGGATATGTTTGGTAATTTTGCTGATTTTAAATCACATTTGACCACTGTAAGTTCAAATCTTATCAGAGACTTTTAACTTTTTCATGTGGGAAGATTAACAAGCTTGCTAACATAAGATCATAGTTCTACTTATTTGCCTGCTCTTTCCTGAAAATATACATCTAGGGGCACAAGAGGTCATCCTCTTACAGAAGAGCTGGAAAGTTGCAATATGACATGTACAGTGTTCATGTAATGCAAAACCCAATCAAACTAAGAATGTCTTTTTAACATTTTCTTTGATGATTAAAAGATAAATTTCTCACTGCTTTAATTTTAAGCTCAAACTATTAATGGCTCTCTATAAACAAGAAATTACCAAATCCTCGATGTCTTTAATATTTCTTTGATATTAGTCTTCAATAATTCACCAAAGCTGTCATTCCATAAATAGATTTTCCAACTTTGAATGTGATTTTAAAATGATTCTGTTCAAAATATCTTTTATGTTTCCTAGAATGTGTCTAGTAAAAACATTTTTTTTAATTAATTACTAGGCCATTTCTGATAATATTGTTTAAAAATTTGTTAACCCAGACAATTGCTACATAATATATAATTCATGTGATTAATCAATTATAGCAGAGATGTCAGTCATCTTCCAACAGTAATCTCCTGATACTTGTAATTCATTGATTACAGAATGTCATGTTATAAATGCAGCAAATCTGCTGATTCTGTCTCTCTGTTAAAGGAAGCTTCTTTTAATCATAAAGATATATAATGTGTATTTATAATGCTGTTGTACTTCTTTTTAATTAATTTATAAAAATTATAATGATTGAATGACATAACTTACCAATAGTAGACCTGATAGTAAAATAAGTGTTGCAAGAATTGTTTGTATACCCTTCTAATGTTGCCAGTTAATGTATACAAATTTAATGGTGCCAGTTAGTGTAGACCAGTTATATGTAGTCATTTATTGTAGACTCATTTTATGTTGGCAATTAGTGTAAACCAATTCTTGTTGGCAGTTAATGATTACCAATTTCTTGTTGCCATTTAATGCATACCATTTAATGATGCCTGTTAATGTACAACAATTCCTGTTGCCAGTTAATGTATACCAATTTAATGGTGCCATTTAATATATACCAATTTAATGGTGCAGGTTTATATATACCAATTTAATGGTGCTAGTTAATGTAGATCAATTATATGTTGCCATCTAACATAGACTCCTTTTATGTTGGCAGTTAATGTAAACTAGTTCTTGTTGCCAGTTAATGATTACCAATTTAATGGTGCTTGTTAATGTATACCAATTCTTGTTGCCAGTTAATGTATACCAATTCAATGGTGCCTGTTAATGTATACCAATTTCTTGTTGCTTGTGAACATAAACCAATTGTATGTTGTCAATTAATGTTGACCCATTTTGTGTTGCCACTTAATATTTTTGTTACCAGTTAATGTAGACCAATTTAATTGTGCCACTTATCTATATGTTGATCATATGACTGCAGTTTCCATATTTGTGATGATATGTATATATGTTTACAGATGTTGAAAGACAAAGAACCTGTTTGTGCATTCTGGAAATACAATGAAAGGTATTGTGCTGCTTAAATCAAATACAAAACTTTATGAACATATTTTACAGTCATTAATTACTGATTATAATCTGTTTAGTTTAATATATAAATATACATCACTTTTACACCACATATCTACACACTATACAAAAGAGTTGGGTCAAATTTTTTTGCAACATTATTGTGGGCCTTCGCCTGTAATAATCTGTAGTTCTTGTACTTGTAGACTTGCTTTGCAATATCCACATAAGACAGGACAATTTAAATAAATATACTTCTTAACATCATATTTATTATATTTACAGTTCACTGGTAGGAGAATGGTCAGATGAAGGTTGTAGAGTTGTTGATACAAATGATGATTTTACAACATGTGAATGTGTTCATCTGACAAACTTTGCTGTCCTCATGGATGTCACTGGAACAAAGGTATGTCCTTGAACGAAGGTAGGCCCTTGATGAAAGGGTACTTCTACTAGTAACTGCAGTTCTGAACAAGAATTTTTTACAGTGTTCTTGAATTAAAAAAGAGAAGGTTGAGTTAACTTATCTAAGCTATTTTCTAAAATAGACTTGACTTGCTTTGAATTAAGAAGAGCTTGAGAAAAGTTCCATGAATTTAAAGATGCTTTATTCTACAATAAAGCAGACCACAAATGCTGAATCTGATTTGACTGCAAAATATTGGAACTAAAAGTGTCATTCCAGTCTGCATAAATGTGCAGTCTGACCAGGCTCTATACTGTTGGTAGCTCAACTTTTATATTTTAATGTTGAAATTCATTAAACTTTGAATGCATTGCTCCAAGGCAAATCCTTTACTCAAAATCAGCAGGTTAACAGTAAAATATGATGAAAAGCATGGATCTGTTTATTAAAGCATAGTTTTACCATTGCAGTGCCCCGAGCTGAAAATGTTTCAAGTTTTATGTTCAATTTTAGGAAACATATTTCTTATAATATAGTCTTCTAATGAAATACAGTGACTAGAAATAAATGAAACACCTATATTGTACAGTTTTACAGTTTCCTAAGACCATTATGGATGTCACAAGTTTGTTTTACAGTCATTATAATAACTTTATTTTCTCCAGTTTGTCTAATTTATTCTCAAGTATGAATATTGTGTTTGCAGTTGAATAAATGGCACAGAATGTCTCTACAAGCCATTACCTATGTTGGATGTACGATATCTATTGTGTGCCTCCTTATGTGCTTCATATCATTCAGCATTTTCAGGTTTGTTTTTTATTTATTCTATACTCTACTGTCTGTAAGATGTTGTTACAGAAAACTAGTATCCTGTTTTCTCGTATTATTGTGGGGCTAAGAGCTAAACTTGGTTGGATAATATATATTAACAATATTTTTAATGATATTATGCCTGTTCAAGGGACTATAATATTGAAAAGGTGAAAGTCAAAGGGGCAGTCTATTTATATTTTATGCAGATTTATATTTTATCCTAATCATTTTCCAATATCAACTGTTGGTCAATCACTATGTTTTAGTCAGTCTTTTTAAATACATAGTCAATTCAGCTCAACAATGAAAATATGAGCATAATGTCGCTTGAAAGAAAGTTTAGTTAACTTTAGCCCCTAGCCTAGAAGCAGCCTTTCTTACAGGAGGGTTTCATTTCTAAGAAACTACATACATTTAGAAACTTTATAACAATGTTGTTCAAATTAACATTTTTGATTGATAACCTATAAGTTTAACATAGAGTTGATATTTCAAAAACATGTATCATGTGATTTTGAAATCAACATTTTATGTTTAACCTTTGTTGTCAGGTACTTTATTATTGTGCTAAAGCTACATAATAAATAGATTGATTTAAACTTTGTTTTTAATGACATGATTTATATTTTAAGTTAGCAAATGAACAAAAATTTGTTGATAGATATAGAAAATGTTAAACTAAATGTTTACAAAAATGATTATGGAATGTGCAGTTTAATTGATGCGCTGGCAAAGTAAAGATTTATTGGTTTACTAGCCTGACATCAAAGTATTTTGTTATGTTTTTATGTAAGTGTAGAAAGTGTTTTAATTGATCATATTTGTTAGATGTTTTAGTTTTATGATACATTTAATTTGTTTAAACTAATAATAGTTGGGTTTTTTTATTGTAATTTTTGGAAATATTAATAGAAATTAACTATGATACGTGATTATAACTGAATTTTAGGATGAATAAAAACTTTTATTATAGATTTATTATTACAAATTGCATTTTTTTTTAATTTTCAGGAATTTGCAATCTGATAGAAACACGATTCATAAAAACCTTGTACTCTGTCTAATGATAGCAGAGTTATTGTTCTTGTTTGGTATAGGACAAACACAGAATCCGGTAAGATATCAATTCTGATTCTCACCGTTTTAAGGAAAAAATATCATTAGAGAATTTAAACCCTAAAAATGTTCATTAAATAGTTACTGTTAAGCATTGATTAAAATCAAGGCAAATAAGCGTCTTGTGGTCAAATTGAATATTTTCCAAAAAAACAAAGGTAGACTTTTTTATATTGGTGGATTAATTAAGGGTTTTCATAATTTGTATGGACATAATGGCTTGAACCATAATGTAAAAAGTGAATGCATGTAATCCAACCTGTTTCATAATTTGTATAGTAGATTGAATTAAATGAAGAAATTTTCAAATACAGAGGGTCATCCAAGCTTAATGAAAGAGATATACTCTAATACATCAATGTTTATGAAATGTTTTATGATATATGTATGTTTTATATTACAGGTTTTATGTTCAGTGATTGCAGGTTTCCTGCATTTCTTCTTTCTGACCTCATTCTCATGGATGTGTCTAGAAGGTATCCAACTGTACTTTATGTTAATTGAGGTATTCGAGGCAGAGAGGTCAAGGGTCAGATGGTTTTACGCTTTCGGATATGGTAAGCTTTTATAATAAGATTGATATGTCATTGATTTATTTTAATATATTTTAGTGCAAACCATACTGTTTGATACCTCTCACTATTTGGTTAGCTTGAAATAACTTAAAATTATCTTCATAATTTAAAAGTTCCATAGCTAGTTACTAGGTGATAGATGCAAGAAAAGTATAATTGTATTCCATTTAAACATTCCTTTCCTGTATAAAGACTGCTGAATCTGAAATGATTGATATTATGGATTATATTCATTCCAAATAAAAATTACATTAATCTTTACCCTGCTAAATATCTTAAATGGACTTGTTCATCTTTCAATATGGAGCAGACTAAGGGTTGAATACTTTCACTTCATGTTTCTTAAGTCTTAACAAACACATTATTTATGTATATTTACATTTCAATGATATATTTATGCAGGTGTACCAGCTCTGATTGTTGGAATATCAGCAGCCATAGACAATACAGGATATGGAACAGAAAACCAGTAAGTTTGTGTATTATATGTCCTTTTGTCTACATGTATTACAATATATTGTGCATTTAGGTGTGTTATAAAACAAAACAAAGACTTACGTTCTAATTTGAAATAGGATAACTTTGAAGAACAGTTTTTGTGATTCAGTTGACTGCTCCTTGTATATAGATAAAGACTTGTTATGCATACGGAAGTTATCAATTTATCATGATATTATACAAGTTGAAGGATGACTAATAGGGCCAGCTCTATAGATAGTACACTTCTTGAATTCAACCATTGTAACAGATACAGTTGTATTAACATACAAATAGGTCTTATGATACTATAGGACTGCAATGTCTAGTCATGAATAAATCACATTTTCTTGTTTATTGCTTTACACCCAATCTTATTGTTATTTAGATAAAACACACATACATATTTTATCAAGGGTATAGTGTTTGGATGAACATTCGGATGTGTGTAGGATCTGCATATATCTGGGCGTTTCTCGTAACACTGTAAACTTGTACACTGCTGTAACCAGAGCTGCATTACTGGTACTGGTACTGGTACTGCAGTACCTACTGCAGCGATTTTGCAAGTACTGGTACTGATACTGAATTACTCTTACAAAATTTTGCTACTACTGGTACTGGTACTGCATTACTGTCTTAAAAAGTGGTACTGCTACTGCATTACCCAGTACTTTTGGTTTTGATAAAAATTAAAATAGCATCAATTTTTCTCATAACATAAGGCTGTAAATTACATTAACTATATTTTATTTTTGTGAAAAAGTAAGTTATCAAATCTAAAGATAATTTGCTGCAATATTCCTTCAAATGTTAACATAATATTCATCATAAAAAGCACCAAAGACTTTAAATAAAACTTAAATTAAGATAAACAGACTCAATATCTCTTTACCCTAAAATATCCTTATTAAAATCTTTTATTACTTTGTATTTACTAGTAAAAGAGCAAAATAAACACTAATTAATTTCTTCTATTCTAAATAATCCCATTTCAAGTGAAAAAAAGTGACATTATTAGCACCATAAAAAGTTGTTATTTACTTTGGTATAAATTGAACAGAGGTGTGAAGGTGTGAAAGGCAACAAAAGACTGTTGTGTTTTAAATGAAAGATGTTTGCATTGTATTTATACAGTTGACTGGTTACTAAATAATTAGATATGACATGAATATATGTTGTAAATATTGTTTGTAAAAAGTATGTTAAAACTATAAAGTTGTAAATATGTTATGTTTACTTTAAAGTAAATTATGATTTTATTTCTTTGCTGAATAATATTTGCAATTATTTGTTTAACACTGTATGTTTTCAAACTTTGATGAATATATAAAAGTAATGGTACTGATACTTAATTCCTTCACCAAAAAAAGTACTGGTACTGCAGTACCAAGCTAAAATCTAGTACTGGTACTGGTAATGGTACTGCAAAATTTGTCAAGTACTGGTACTGGTACTTAAGTACTACACCCTTAGTACTGATGCAGCTCTGGCTGTAACATTCAAATCTTACAACCAGCAATAACAACACAAACTACACAGAATTTCAAATAAATTAAATACAGTCTGGTTGTCTCAACTCTTCACATTATTTTTAAAAAAAAAAGAAGAAAAAATACTTGTTTTTATTTTTAAGTAACTTTGTAGATATGTCCAGTATGTTAGATTTGTTGTAAAGTTATGTATAGTCTCTTATAACTCAACTATGAGTGGCATTTATGTACAATGTCGTAGGTTTTATATTTGTATTATTTTAATATTGTACATGATGGATGAGACATTAATAAACTATCTTATCTTATCTTATCTTATATTGGGTCTTACTCTGTTGCAATTAAATACATGTTCAGTATGTTTAACTAATTATATTAAGAAAAAGAAATGGAAAGAATATTTTCTGTAGATTTGACCTTTTAACCACCCATCAATTTCTCTCGCCTCATCATTTATGATTGTACAATTTATTTCATGATTTACATTTTACAAAAGGCAAATAATTGTTTTCCTGTTGTGTTAACTGTTGTCTGGAAAAAACAATGACATATGATTGTTTAACCCATCCTTGTGAAACTTTATAAAGTCTCATTATTGCCTTATTTCCTGCCATGTCATGTCATTAAATAAAGTTTAAAAAATGCATTTGATAGATATTCTAGTTTTATAAACTCATTTGAAATGTTTTGAAAGAATTAAACTCAATTGTTATGAAGAAAAAAAATGTATATATTGACTGATATGCTTTGAATGTGACATTCTGTGAGAATCTGTTGTTATATTTAATAGGCCATTTATTATTGTAATGAGTTGATTATAACACCACCCTTTTTACACCCTGTACAGAACATGAAACTGAACATGACATTTAAGATAATAGATCTGTAGACAAATGCATAATAATGGGGTGTTGTTTACAGAACTAAATTGCTGTATTATTATTAATGTTTGACAAATTAGGCAGCAAACTGTATATGGTCTGTTAAAATCAAGCTCTCAACTGTTGTAATTATTGCTAGCTAGTTTTCAAAGAATTAAAGATATAAATTGTTGTATTTATACAGTATAATTATGAACTATAATTTCAGTTGCTGGTTGAGGACGGACAATTATTTTATCCTGAGTTTTGTTATACCAGCCGCCATAGTAGTTCTTGTAAGTCTCTTTGCACTTTTAGCATTTATTTTCATTTGTAGTAAAAACAAAATGTTTTTTTAAAGATGTGTATCTACAATTGCCCATTTCATAGTTGGTAATTATGTAAAATGCTGTGTCTTTGTATTTATCAGACCTGTATCGTGCATTTAAACATTCCCTAGCAATTATTGTTCAAAAATATTTTTATTTTTATTTTAATACAGAACTTTTTTTACATTAAAACTTGAAAGTCAGTTTGATGAAGTGTTTTATCAGTATCATTCATCAAATGAATTTAACTGAATAGTTAATTGATAGTTAATTAATGGGATCAGTGTTTGAATTGCATGTAGGTGTCATATCAATAAATCAAAACTTGATTTGTAAGTTTGCTAGCCAATGGACTCGATGCATTTGTTGACATGTTTGAATGTTTACTATTATCCAAAGATTTTTAAACTTAGGTCATTAGCAAGTTTTATAAGATCAATTCCAAACCAGTTTTTCTATTACTGCCATATAAACTTTAATGCTTTAACTTTCTGGAATTAAAAGTCACAGATTAACCTTTGTCATCATTATAGCCTTCACAGTCTGACCAGGCTCTATATTGTTGCCAGCTCAATTTGTAGTATTTTGTTACTAAAATCAATTTAGATTTGAATGGACTCTTCCAAATTCAAACCAGGGCAAGTCTATTACACAAATTCAGCAGGTTAAGTCAGTTATATCTTGTACAGAAATACATGTAATTGATATTGTTTTGTTACTTTACCAGATTAACGTGGTAATGTTGAGTATAGCTATATACATGATGTGTCGTCACGCTGGAGTGACTGCCTCCTCCATACAGGCCAGACAGAAAGGAAAACTAGAGAAGATGGGGTAGGTTTTATATACACATAATTATATTGTATAATATTAATATGCACATTTGATTGTTTGAAATGTAACATATAATGATATAATTATAAAACAATGCTGGTTATATTTACATGAGGAAGGTTATTGATACAGACATAAGCTAGGTATATACACTATATATAGAGTTACATGTATTTATATGCATTTTGAAAAATATCTTGAATGAAAGGTAAAAGGCCAGTCGGAATTCTATAAGTTTGGAAGTGCGAGGCATTAAATATAATCAAAGGGACACAACTGAGCAATAATTTGTGTCATGAAATGCTTAATTCCCCTGTGAGAAGTGCAAATTGAGAAACTGAAGTTGAAGTTTTATATAAGGCATAAAACAATTTAAGATTTCAGTTATAAGCTTATTGCATGCCAAACTATTATTTATTGTAGTTCAGTCACTAACATATTGAAAACATCAGATATCTAAAATGAATGATATTATTGGACTATTTTATTTTCTGAAATTATTTCTTGACACTAAAAATGACGGCAAAGATTGTAACTACAAGAATAGATAAATATTCAGTTTAGATGTCTGATGTAATTTTAAGTATATTGTTTGCTTACTGATACAAAATTTGCTAACAACAGACATGGCGGAGGCAAAAACAGCATAGTGAGTGAAACATCTACGGCTGTAGATCTGCCGTAAGTTACCTCCACACTGTAATGTGTAGATCAACATCTCTCTAATTTTGTCATGTGTACATCTCTCTATTCTACTATCTATATATGGGATTATAATTCCTTTATCTTTGTATTCATACATTTTGATTCATACTGCTGTATTTGAACCCTTGACCTGCTACAAATAAAAGTGATTAACCTTTGCTACTAGTATAGAGCAATGCCCTACCAGTATAGAGCCCGGTCAGCCTGCACTCCCTGCAGATTGACCATGCTATATACTGTTTGTAGCTCAACTTTTGTATTTTGGTATTAAAGTCTTCTGACTCTTGAAAAAATTGTTCTGTACAAATTCATTGTATAAATTCAGCAGGTTAGAGGTTAAAACATACTGCTGCATATCTAAATAAAACAGCATTACCAAATTAAACAATTGTGTTAGGGACAACAGATTTCTATATTTATTTAAAGTTATAAAGATCTCTATGCGTTTTTGTAATGTCCATAGCAGTATGAAGACAGCATGTTTCAAACAATGTATGAGTACAGATAACAATTGGATGTAGGTGTTATGTTGTACTCTATCCGTTTCTTAAACTAAGTCTTAAAAAAAACTTCCTGACAATTGCACAGTTTAGGGAATGCCTTTTAGTTTTTGGTATCCAAAAGTTTCATTGTAATAATTTTTTTGCAAAAACAACATTGTGTAGGTTAATTTTAAAAATAATAAAACAACTAGGAAATGGCTAAAAATTAGCTATCAAAATGTAAAGCTGAAAGATATGTACATGATTGTTGGAAGTTATTTTAAGACCTGGTTTATTATTTTATGTTTAAACAAATGTTTTGTAAGCTTGTGTCCTCTAATTGAAGTATAAACCTGTAGAGCATGTAAAAGCATTGTTAGAAAATTAAGTGAAGTGATTTATATAGCATGTTTTTGCAGCATGGTAAAATTGATGATGGTCTGAAGATATCTGAACAAAAACATTCTGCTAACAAGACCATTTAAAATAACAGTAAAATGATCTTGTTTGCAGAATTCTTCTTCTATATTTCAGACCTCTTTTCTTTAATTTTAAAATTGTTAAAATTTGCCTGATCTTGCATTATTTGAAATGTTCTGCTTAGTGGAACTTTAGGAACTTAGCTATTAGAGTTTACTACTAGTATAACAGCATGATTTTGTCTTAATGAAATGCTTAAAGGCTGATATGTTAGCATGCCAGAAATTATATTACATTTTTCATTGATTTAAAACAAAAAGGACAGAGTGAAAATATAATTGGAGCATTTATTATGATGTATTTAAGATAAAGGAATTAACAGGTGTAACATTGTGGTAAAGGATTTTCTCTGTTATGTTTCCATGTATCAACACTGTAGTGGCTAGCCCCTATTCCGAATCCTGTTAGTGATTTTGTATAGTTGATTAGTTTGAATTATACTCCTATAATATAAGTAATTTTATCAAATAAACCACAGTGCAGGAGTGTATTTAACCCATTTAATAAAAACGATATTACACTAGTGTTATAATACTTTAAGATACATTGAATATACAAACATAGCATGAAAGAGCGCTAATGTCGGTGTACCACTACAGGTGCAATGAAAAATTACTCTTTTTAACTCTAAACCATTCTTATTTTAGATACTGTATGTGATAAATGGAATATTATACAGTCTAACTTGCCCATGCGACCACGTGTATTAAGCAACTTTTGTCTTAAACGACCACTTTAAATTCCCCCCGATCATTTTCTCTCTAGAGTGGGTAGACCAACGCTCGGCGTAAACATACTATATTTTATATAGCAAATTCAAATCAACGTCAACAAACCTCAATGTTATATGTCCATTTTCAAGACCGATGATATTGTTTTATATAGCCATTGTGTAAAATTCGCTAATCACACAATGATGTGCATGGCTGGAGCTATAGATAGTCCGGATAAACAAGAGTGGTTTGCGTGAAATTGTACCATAGCTCGGCGTACAATACTACATGATGCAGGATTGTTTTTCGAATAAAATCTCTTTTTATCTTATGATGAAAACATATTGAATAAATTGTAACAACCAAATTAGGTTCATACATTTACAAGTACCCAATTTTTAGTTTAAATTTCACAGCCCCAGAACTCTAGTGTCAAAAGATTTTAATAATTTATATATTGGGGATTACATACGGTTGTTCGTCTGCTATTAGAATATTCACGTGACTTTACCAGCAGTGAACCACACCAGGATAAAATGGTGAAAGATGTAAATAAAAGCACCAGTGACCTAAATCGGAGATAACTCAATACATTTTCAGATATTCTAAAAAAAATATTTTTTACGCCGAGCATTGGTATGCGCCGAGCATTGGTCCAACCACTCTATATCTTTAATGTATTTAGCGACTTTTGCTCAACGCGACCAGCGACTGCTAATTAGTCACCTAATTGAGATAAATCTTTTCATTAAACGACCACTTTTACCTGTCAAGTGATTGAGTTTTTAGAGAACACCACCTCGTAATGTCAAGTGTCAACAATCAAAACACATAAACAAATAAACGTGTGAAAAACTCTATTTCCCAAACCGTTTAAGCGTATGCAAATGAAGTTAAGTATACGCGTGACGTGTATTATCCAATAATATCGGATAAACAATGCAACGCTCCGCCCCTACTGAGATGGTGTATACGCTTCGCTTGTTGACATTTAGACTGCATTGAATTGACCTTGAACTTGATCAGCAATTAAATTAATCGTAACAATTAGATGTAGTTTGTTTATTTCAAATGAAAAAAAGGACAACAGAAAACATCTTCACTAATAGGGTTTTCGTGTTGGAATCAAGGAATAACAACGGAGAAGTTAAAAAATTCTGGAAAAATGTCAAACATGTACATAATGGATCAAAACTGTTTTTGTCAATAAATATTAGAAAGTTATTTTTTACATTTGCATCCATTTAGATTATCGGAGCGTATATTTATTATTCAACATGTATATAAAACGAAGTGGAAAAACATTCCCACCGCATAAGAAAGATGTCATTTATAAATTTTGACTTTTATATCATGCTGACTGTCTTAAGAGACCATTTCATTAAGCGACCGTTTTGGGTGTTTCCCTTGCACGGTCGCTTAATACACGTTTGTCTGTATTCATGTAAGTTTAATACTAAATTTATTGAACTTGTTGAATAAAACAATATTATTCTTGCCAATAAATTTAGTATTAAACCTACACTCATTCAATATCCGATATTTCTAGGTGATGATATTAACATTTTCAAGGGATTTTTTTCTTTCTGTTGGTGTATATTAATTTTGATTTTGAGAAATGTAAAAATGGTAATAATATTTTTTTTCAATTGTGGCATCAATCTCTTTTAAAGATTTATTTTTTTTATAAATTTAGGCATACCACTGTGTAAGACAATCTTTTACTTTTCTTTCATCTTGTGATATAATAAAATTTGCATGATGTGATGCTGTAGACTTCAATTTAGTTTTTCAACAAAATGCATGTACAACTTATTCATTATAACTTTCTTTCTACCTTTTTAAGAATTAGAACAATATTTTGAACAAAATGCATGCACAACTTTGATTATTTCTACCTTTTTAGCTCACCTGAGCATGCTCAGGGTGAGCTTTTAGGATCGATGATTGTCCGTCGTCCGTCCATCTTCCGTCCGTCGTCCGTTCACATTTAGTTGTTAACACTCTAGCGGTCGCATATATTGCCCCAATCATCATCAAACTTGGTCAGGATGCTTATCTAGTTGATAGCTCGGATGAGTTCGAACATGGGTCATCTCGGATGAGAAACTAGGTCACAAGAGCTAAAAATAGAAAAACCTTGTTAACACTCTAGAGGTCACATTTTTGCCTCAATCATCATCAAACTTGGTCAGGATGTTTGTCTAGGTGATAGCTCGGATGAGTTCGAACATCGGTCATCTCAGATGAAAAAGTAGGTCGCCGGAGCTAAAAATAGAAAAACCTTGCTAACACTCTAGCGATCACATTTTTGCATCAATCATCATCAAACTTGGTCAGGATGCTTATCTAGTTGATAGCTTGGATGAGTTCGAACATGGGTCATCTCGGTTGAAAAAGTAGGTCACCGGAGCTAAAAATAGAAAAACCTTCCCTTAGGAAAAGGAAAGGCATTTAACTTGTAGTTATATTGCAGTTATTTAGCAGTTTTTTCAAATAAATGCCTTTTTTACAATTTTTTGCCCTTCATCTTAATTTGTAGGATTCCATTTAAACAGCAGTTCTTAAAAAACTGGTAAAAACTTGTTGTTAAAAAACTTGTGTCCAGCATTTTTTACCAGTTTTTCAACATTTAAAAATAAATGGTGATGTTAAACAATACTTACATTACCATTTTTTACAAGTTATTTTCTTGAACCATTTTTTTAAGCTAAAAGATTGTGACAGAAGCTGCAGTTTTTACAAGTTTTATTTAAATGCTTTTAGGAAAATATAATTCATGCACACTAATATTCACTTAATACCTTGTAGTGCATCATAGCAATATTGTATGTGTACAACTCACCGGTGTGGGGTGTAAATTTACTTTCAAACTGAGTCCTGCCGTCCAGAGGCAGCAAAAGAAATCACATGAACAAACCCTGTCGTCTTCTCTTTTTTTTTTTTAAAACTCATGAGCCAGATAGTTTGTCTGTACAATGTGAAGGTTGTAGTTTACAATGCCTGCGACAGAGTTGAAACTCAGACACTAGCTGTTGTATTTTATAAATTACAGAGTTGAAACTCAGACACTAGCTGTTGTATTTTATAAATTATACTGCTTGCGGTAACGTAATTTCAAACCAAAACAAAATTTCTACAGCATTCTTTTCTTCAATTTTCTTTCAAAAGGAAGCTTTGCAAAATACTATACAATAGTATATAACTTTGATTTCAAAATTACTGTTAGCTGTTTTAGTACCGCGAAAATAGGAACTTTCACTGTAAATGAAAGAAAGCATGTTTGACAGACAAGTTAAAT